TCACTCACACTGTGGTGGGCGGGGCCAGGCCCCCTCCCCCCTTCCCCCCCTGTTGTGAGTTTGCTCCCTGGCCCTGCCCGGGGTTACTGCTGCGGGTGGCAATTCCTGCTGCTCTGGCTTGGGCGCTCCCTGGTCCCACTGCAGGCCTTTCCTTGGGGAGGAAGTTTTGGCTCAGGGCCTCTTGGGGGATCAGAGCCAGGGGCCTGCTGTGCTCTCAGCCTCCATTCTGCTGCTGGGTCCCAGTGTCTCGTGATGAGGAGGGGGCTGAAGATGGACCAGGTCACGGGCTCAACTCAGGGGACTGGGGCCCCGAGGTTTTGGGGGTGGCTGTGACATTGAGGGGCAGGGCTTGGCCGGAGCACTCCATGTTCTCTGGGGCCTGCCCCTGCCCGCAGCCAGGGCAGCGTCGGTGGCAGCAGTCCAGGCTGGGCACCACAGCCATGTAGAGCAGCGGGTGTACGCAGATGGCCAGGGGAACGAGGCCCCGTGTTACCTGATGGGCCACGTACGTCCTCCAGCCCAGCGCCGCCTTTGCCTGGGCCACACTCGCAAAGCCTGGGCAGAGGGCTCTCCAGCGCTGCCGGGCATACACGTTGAGCACCCCTGTGACGTAGTAGGGCACGTAGGAACTAGCGTAGAGGGCAACGCCACTGGCCACCAGCACCATGACGTGCAGCTTGTTGGCCGCTGTCATGCCGTGGCTCTGCAGCACGGCCTGCCCGAGGGCGCCGTAGGCCACTAGGCTGAGCAGCAGCGGCAGGCCGCAGCCCAGAGCCGTGAGCGCCAGGCTGTAGACCCTGTAGGCCTCAAGCTGCTTGTCATCCGCTGTCCCCAGGCACTTGATGCAGGCATCGGGCCTGTCCACAGTGCACTTGCCTTCCTGCTGTGGCCCACTCAGGTGGGAGAAGCTGAGCGTGGGTGCGGCCAGCAGGGCCGCCAGTGCCCAGCCAGCAGCGCTGATGGCCCAGGCGTGCTTGGGCCGCAGTTGGCTGTGGGTGAAGAAGGGGTGGGCAATGCCCAGGTAGCGGTTGAGGCTGATGCAGGTGATGAAGATGACGCTGCCCAGCAGGTTGCAGGTGAAGAGGAAGCGCTCCAGGCGGCAGGCAGTCTCCCCGTAGCTCCAGTGTTTGGGTGGGTAGAAGTAGGCGGCCAGCGGGGGCAGCGTCAGGGCATAGAGCAGGTCGCTGACTGCCAGCTGGGCTGAGAAGATCACGGCTGGGTGCCAAGGGCGATGGTCCTGGGTGCAGAAGCGGTACAGGGCCAGGCTGTTGCCAGCCAAGGCCACCAGAAACACAGCCACCAGCATGGGCCACAGAAAGTCTTCCTGGAAACCGCTGAGGATGTGGTCAGCAGCCGCTGAGATGTTGGCTGGGCAGTGTGTGGGACCTGGGGCAGAGAGCGTTGCTGCATCAGCCCTGTCCCTGACCATGGTTCCCGCTGCCTTCAGAGTCGGAAACACTGTGACACCCATACCGGCTGTGCGCCGGGAGCCCTTTGCGGGGCATACTCCGCTGAGTACTTTTCCACACCGGGGAGGGGGGGGGGGGGGGGGGCAACCACAGCTCCTTCGTACAGAGGGAATCTGTACGAAGAGGCCCAGAGCAGATAGAAGCACAGAGTCCTTCATTCAGCCTCTCTCTGTGTCCCGCACCATCAAGAACCAGCTGGAGCAAGAAGCAGGGACGTGGGCTTCCCTGGTGGCGCAGTGGTTAAGAATCCACCTGCCAATGCAGGGGACACAGGTTCGAGCCCTGGTCTGGGGAGATCCCACATGCCACTGAGCAACTTAGGCCTGTGCACCACAACTACTGAGCCTGCGCTCTAGAGCCCGCAAGCCACAACTACTGAGCCTGTGTGCCTAGAGCTGGTGCTCTGCAACAAGAGAAGCCACCGCAATGAGAAGCCCGCCCACCGCAACGAAGAGTGGCCCCCACTCTCCGCAACTAGAGAAAGCCCGCACGCAGCAATGAAGACCCAATGCAGCCAAATAAATAAATAATAATAAAAGTAAAGGAAAAGAACCAGGGACGCATGTAACCTGGCAGTGACCACCCAGAGCCACTGGGGCCTGCGGTGTAGGAGAGGGAGCCCAGGGGAGTGTCCCACCCCACTACACAACTCCCAGTCCGATCTGTCAGTCTGTCACCCCCTTAGTGTCACCCAAGTCCAGCCCCCACCGTCTACCTGTTGGCTGCACTCGGGTCTCCCTGCTCTGGCCCTCACCCATCTGTTCTCTCACATCCTCCAAAGGGCACCTGAGACAGGTCACATCCCTATCCTCCCAGCCCTCCCCGGCTTCCTCCTCACATGGAAGAAAAGCCAGCGCTCACCTTTTCGCACAAGGCCCTGCAGGAGCTATCCCTCCCACCCCACCGGCTCTCTCATTTCCCACTCCCAGCTCCCTGGGACCGTAGTGTCCTGGCTGTTCCTTAAGGCACAGCCTGCCTCAGGGCCTTTGCACTGGCTGAGTCACAGGCAACAGGCATCCTTAAGGCTGTCCCACTCACCTCCTCCTGGTCTGGTCCTGAGAGAGGACCTGAGATCACCCTAACGTTGTGACTGCACCCTTGGTCCCCTACCCTGCTTATATTTTTGCCACAGCTTGTCACTCCATCTGATCACTGTAAGAAAAATCCCCAGAATGTTCCCTCCTGAGGGCGGGGCAGCGCCCTGCTACTGGCTTCCCAGTGCCCAGAACAGCACCTGGGACTGAGCAGTGCGGGGGGAAGCTGAGCTCTGCAGTTGACCCTTTACACGCCCCACTCAGCCTCAACTTTCCAACCTGAGAATTGGCCTGTTCCCAGTTGGTCCAGCAGGCTGGCCAGGAGCTCTGTGCGAGGTGCATGTACCCCTTCCCTGACCCGGTCAGCTACCCCACTCTCACTTCTGCCTTCCTATCCCATCCCTCCGCCCTGGGAGGAAGTCGGTCCAGACGTGATTCTAAACCCCTTCTCCCCTCTGTCTGCCCTCCAGGAGCCGGCCGCCTCCACCCCCATGGCCCTGGATGTGTGCCTGGCTCAACCATCCCAGCAGTGCTGGCTCCTCACCTGAGGTGGTGGTGGCCGTGGCCCGCATGGCCTGCCTCTGGGTCTGCGGCCCGTGTGCTGTGGTGCACACGGTCCTTTGCTGAGCTACCAGCAGCGCTGCTGGCCCCTCCCCTTGCCAGCAGCACCTCCTTCAGCCTGCAGAGCTGGTCTGGGCACACGCCTCACTTCCACCCCCGGTTTCCTTCCTCATGACACCCAATCCTCCAGAGCTGGCCCATCTGCTTGTGGGGGCCCTTGCTAGACTGGGGGAGGGGCCCAGGACCCCAAGGCACCAAAGCAGGGTCAAATCTGCCCGTCACCCTCGCCTGTGAAACAAACAAGGCCCTGCACTTCCACTGCCCAGGGTCGGGGAAATGGGCCCAGGCTTCGGGCAGAAACCAGGCCCCCCATTTCAAGCGCAGACTAAGACTCATGAGAAATCAGTTTATTAGAGGCGGAGGTTAGGAAAACAGTTCTCCTTTATGAAAGGAAACCGAGGGCTGCACCTGGAGGCCCAGGAGGTGGGGAGCCCAGGGCAGCACTTCTCAGGCCCCAATCTGGGGCATTCCACCTGCCACCCAGGCTTGGCCTCAGGCTACTCTCTTCGGTGGCCACGGTCGGCCTCGCCTGTGGTCCCGGGCAGCCCCTTTGGGTCCCACCTTGGCCTGGGCCCCCGGGTGTCTGCCCTTGGCCTTTGGAGGCCTCCGGTCACTGCCTCGGTCAGGCTTCCGTTCCTTTACCCGTCGCTTCTTGCCTGGGGGCCCGGCAGGCCGCCTCCGCTTGGCTGCCTTTGGGAACATGTCTGTGGGAAGAGACTGTGTCAGGGCCACCAGGGCACAGGGACAGACAAGCCCACGGTGCCCAGCTACACTGACCCCTGCCTGCCACACACCCTCATCAGGCTCCTCGCCCACAGCCTGGCGGAAATACTCGGCCTCGTCCTCCTCTTCCTCTTGCTGGCTGACCCCCTCTGCCTCTGCAGGGGCCCCGGGGTCCTCTGCATCGCTGTCCTCCCCATCAGCCTCTGCCTGTGCCCGCTTCATGCCCGCCAGGCTCTTCTTCCTGGAGGAGGAACACTGGTCAACGTGGCAGCCTGCGCCCAGGACCCCGCCTCATCCGCCTGGCGACCACACACCTGTGGGCCTCTCGCTGCTCTCGCTTGCGCTGAACGTTCTGGGCCTGCTGGTCCTGCCTCTGGGCCTTGAGCCGCAGCTTCTCCTCCTTGGCTGCCAGGGTGGCCTGCAGTTCCTCCTCTGTTTTGTGCACTAAATGGGAAGAGACAGCCACTGAGGCCTTCACCAAGATCCAGGTGAGGCCCCCAGCACCTTGAGACCCACCTTCGATCAGGCCTCAGACCCCGGTGCCCCTCCAGCCCCGTCCTCACCAAAACTGTGGAACAGCACATTCCCTTCTCCTACACCCTCCTGGATCTTGATGAGCTGCAGTGTCATCCGAGGCCCGATCTGGAGGAACGGGGGAGGGGGTTGGGGGAGTGTGTGTCAGTCCCTCCTTGAGACTGGGGGAAGCCACCGGGCCTGCCTGGGCGGGGCCTCACCTCGGTGAGCCGCACAGCGCTCTGCTGGGCTGGCATGTTGCCACGCCCTGCCACGGCCTGGGGCAGCACCGTGATGTTGTGCTCGCCGTCCGGCTCTGCTTCACTCTCGGACAGCCCTGCGCCCCTGTGTGGGGCACACACGGGGCTCAGCAGGGGATCCCGGGCTCCTGGGACAGCTCTGGGGCCCGCTGGCGTGCGGTGGCCCCCTGCCCCCACCCTGAGCCCTCCTCACGTGGCCAGCAGCTCACTGACGTCCTGCAAGCGACTCATGTTGGGGAGCTTCTCCTGAAGAAGTTTCTTCATCCCACGACTTGCACCCACAGGGACAACTCTGATGCTGCTGCAGGGGTCAGAGCGAGGGAGAACAGGGGTCAGGAGCCATGGGGTCGCGGGTCAGCTCCACCCCCCACCAACCCTTTCTGCGGTCCGTCGGAGCGTGTACTTTGAAACGAAGCAATCACAGGGGCTCAGCAGCAGCGCTGTCAGCAGGTGCAGAGCGGGGCCACGCCCGCCACCCCACCCCGCCCCGCCCCGCCCCAGACTCACTAATGGCGGAGATCCAGCTCCTGGGACTCAGGGCTGTAGCTGATGAGAAGGCAGCGCTTGATGGTGTTCAGGTTCACCTGGAAGGGAGCGGAGAGAGGGCGTGGCACCGCGTGAGCTGCACCCAGGCCCCGCTGTGTGCCGGAGCCCACGCCAAGCCCCGGCTATGGCTGCACTCCTGAAGCCTCACAGTAGAAGGGCACAGAGTGCTGAGAGCACTGCAGGGGCGGATGGGGCTGCCTGGACGTTGGCTAGAAATCCTGGGTCCGAGGCCCACTGAGGCCGTCGACACCGGACTTGCTGGCGACTGGCATCTAACAAGGCTAATTTGAGATCCACTGGTGCCACGGATTAGAAGCAGGGGCTCTGCTGCCAGACAAATTTAAAAATCTGGTCCTGCCTTCTTCTCCCTCGTATCTGACCTGAGACTAGTGACTTCACCTCTGTCGGCCTCAGTTTCCCCCTCTGTAAAATGGAGCCACAATACACGCTCCTCTACTTAGACCAGCACTCAACGCGCATTTAGGAAATAAAGCACTATGGGCATAGTTTTCCACCTGCCAGATGGGATGGCAGCTCACGGGGGAAGCCTCTTGCGCGGTGTCACAGAACGCTATGAGTGGGATTCGACCTCAGAACCCGGAGCTCTCAGCCTCAATGCTAGGAGGTGAAGACTGAGCAATCAACCCAAGGGCCTGTGCGTGGTAACTGTTGCCTGGCCCAGCCCACCTTGTGCACGTTGATGGAGGGGAACAGGTTCTGGAACATGGTGGCCATGAGCTTCACGTGCATGCCGTGGGGGCCAAAGCTGTTGAGCACCAGGAGAGGAGGGTGGGCAAACTGCTGCTCGTGCATGCGGTGACGTCGCAGCGAAGAAACCACATCACGCACCAAGGTGTACTGCAGGACAGGGTGACGAGTGGATAACTGCCAAGCACACGTGGCTGGGGCAATCCCCAAACCCAGCTCCTACCCCTCGGAGGCCTCATACCACCTCTAGTCCTTACCTTGTTGATCCGGAAGGTCAAGGTAGGGCCTCCCGGGAGGCGTATCAGCTTCTACAGAAAAAAAGGATCAGTGAGGGTCAAGGTGTCCGACTAGAGAGCAGGGGGAATGGGAACCTCTGCCCATCTCTTCAGAGCGTTTACTTTGAAGCCAGAATCACGGCAGCTCAGAGGCACAAGGGGTCATCATGAGAGCTGGGGGAGGAGGAGGGGGTGGGGGAGTGAGGGGTGAGAGCATCCACTCACAAAGTAGACACTGGTCTCCGTTTTGCTCAAGATCAGGAAGTGTGTGACCCCAAGGGGCCCAGCCACTGCCACACAATCTTTCAGAGAGTTTTTCTTTCGAATCTGGAAACGACAAAAAGAAAAAGGGATGATCACTGATATCCCCTTACTGAACAAAGCCTATACGCTTAAGCTGTTACGCCCTTTCTTGCATTTAACCCTTGGAAGAAGGGGGGAGGAGAGAAGAGCGGAATGCTCTTGGCCTCTAGAGCCAGTCAGACTTGAATCTGAGCACCGCCTCTGTCCCTCGACAGCCAGCTGAGGCCCGGACAGGTTAAGTAACTTGATCGGGGCTTTTGAGAGAAGCCAGCTTTGCTGATTCCTGAGTCCCCTCTTAACCACCAGTCCTAGGCACCCAGCCAAGCTGCGCGCGGTTCATCTGCTCGCCCTCGCTGCTGCCACTCAAAGCCCTGAGAGGCAGCCACGATGGTCCCCATAAGGGCTCCTTTCTCCAGCCAGGGAGACTGCGGCCTCGCGCGGTTTCGAGGATGGAGCCATCCCCACAGAAGACGGGGCCCACAGCGGGTGGAGATGGGCTGGGCGATGCAGACCTGCAGGCGGGTGGCGGTGAGCGGCTCCATGACCCGCCGCAAGTCCAGGCTGAGCTGTCGTACGCTGCGACCCGCGCGGCCCCGAGAGAACACGAAAGAGTGCGGCTGTGCGGCATAGGCCTCGAGGTTGCGGAGGTGCGCCTGGGCGCGCGCCCGCTTCTGGTGCCGGGACTGCGGGGGCGAGAGGCAAGAGGTGAGCACTGCGGCCACCGCCGGGACCCCACCCGCGCTGCCCGCTTTCCCGGCCGCCGCGCCTCACCCGCCCCGACTGCCCCATGCCACCGTCTCTTCCTCGAGGCCTCTTCTGCCGGCTGCTTCCGGCGCCGCACAGCTCACTTCCGGCGCCGGCGAGGCGACTACGTGAGGCGCCGCTGCGTGATGACGTCACCACATGGGCTTGCGCACCAGGTCGCGGGAAACCTCGGAGGGGTTGCTGTGGAGACACCTGGTGCCTGTTTCTGTGGAAACGGGGGGGGGGGTGGGGGCACGGTTCGAAATGATCCATGGGTTCGAATCCCGCCTCGGCCATTTCCACCAGCTGTGCGATTTTGAGGCACACGTTATCCACTCCAAGGCTCCTAAAGTATCCCAAAGTGAGGATGATCATCATTTCCTCTCTGACCCGCGAATTAAGAGAGATGATGTATGCACAGTACTTGGCACACTGGCGCCAGGCACTTGGGGACCCGAAAAGGGGATAGCACCTTGGCAGGTACTCATTTAGGCCCCAGGTCCTGAGGACCAGCTGTCCCCCGCGGGGGCCCTGTCTGCGGACGGGCTGAGGGATGGAAATTCCACATCACCTCTGGAAATTCAGAGCAAGGCGGTAGCTTCGTGAATAATTCACCCCCTCCCAGTTTCCGCTCAAAGCCCCAGCCTTGGCCTCAGGCCTCTGGCTTCTTCCCCAGAACCTTCGGGTGGGGGGAAGAGATCCCCCAACATCTCTCTCCCTGTTCCATTTGTCTCTGTCTCCCTCTCCCCAGCTTTGAACTTGCCAAAAATTGTCTCCATCATCTGTAAGTTCCATCTTTCTCCTCTCTCTGTCTGTCCCTATCCCCGTTTCTCTCTTCTCATCTCTATCCCCATCTCCCATCTCTCTCCCGATCTCCCAGACGTTTCTCCTTCTCTGTCTCTCTGACTCTCTCTCCCTCCTGTCATCCCCTCTCCTTGACTTAGGAGGTTTCTTCTCTCTCTGCTGCCAGTGGGGGAAGCTGGAGGGGGCCCAGCGTGGCGGGTGGGGGGGGGGGCGCCAGCCCAGGCCGGGAGCCCAGCCTGGCAGCCTCTCTCAGATCTGGGACGACCATTTCCTCCTTCAGCCCGGGAGGCCACTCGGGTTACGAGTTCAGGACTGTAGGAAATGGGAGGAGACTGCTAGTCGGGGAGGCCTTCTTACAAGTCGGAGACCCTAGCCTGGTGGGGGCTCTACGTGAGTCACTTTGTTCTGTCTGTTTTCGGCCCTGCAGGACCTGACCTGTGTGAGGATGTGAGAGTGTGTGTGGGAGATAAATGGAAACTTGGCGCTGGGCTGTGGGCGGGTATCAGGGGCTCGCCGTGTGCCTGGTTTGTGTCTCTGCGCTTGCCAGTGTGTGACCATGTGTACCTGGGTGTGTACATGCCTGATGCAGATTTACAGACACGCTCAGCCCACGGGGTATTTTCCTTTAAGTCGTGGTGTGTGCGTGTGTGACCGTATTTTGTTTTTAGTTTTTGTTGTTGTTTTTTAAATTAATTTATTTATTTTTGGCTGCGTTGGGTCTTCGTTGCTGCGTGTGGGCTTTGTCTAGTTGCGTGAGCGGGGGCTACTCTTTGTTGCGTTTCGCGGGCTTCTCATGGTGGTGGCTTCTCTTTGTTGCGGAGCACGGGCTCTAGGTGCACGGGCTTTAGTAGTTGTGGCACGTGGGCTCAGTAGCTGTGGCTCGCGGTCTCTAGAGCGCAGGCTCAGTAGTTGTGCTGCACGGGCTTAGTTGCTCCACGGCATGTGGGATCTTCCTGGACCAGGGATCGAACCCGTGTCCCATGCATTGGCAGGTAGATTATTATTATTATTAATTAATTAATTAATTTTTGGCTGCGTTGGGTCTTCGTTGCTGCACGCAGGCTTTCTCTAGTTGCAGCGAGTGGGAGCTACTCTTTGTTGCGGTGAACGGGCTTCTCATTGTGATGGCTTCTCTTGTTGTGGAGCACGGGCTCTAGGCGCGCGGGCTTCAGTAGTTGTGGCACGTGGGATCAGTAGCCGTGGCTCGAGGGCTCTAGAGCACAGGCTCACTTGTTGTGGCGCACGGGCTTAGTTGCTCCGTGGCATGTGGGATCTTCCTGGACCAGGGCTCGAACCCATGTCCCCCGCATTGGCAGGCGGATTCTTAACCACTGCACCACCAGGGAAGTCCTGTGACCACATTTTGAACACACAGTTGCTTCCTAAATCTGTGCTATTTCCAGTTGTGTCTTTATTTATTTATTTTTTTTGACTGCACCACGCGGCTTGTGGGATCTTAGTTCCCAGACTAGGGATCGAACCTGGGCCCCAGCAGTGAAAGCGCTGAGTCCTAACCACTGGACCCCCAGGGAATTCCCTCCAGTTATGTTGTTGTAATTGTCTGTGCCGGGAAAATCCACGGACACACACACATACACATATACACACACAGATTCCATCTGTCTATCTTTGCTGCTTTGTGCAGTGGTTTGCATGTCTCATTGGGTATCCGTGTGTGTCTTTGTGCTCTACTGTTATGTGCACACACAGAGGTGTGTGTATGACTGTTGTGGTATATGTGTGTGAGTTCTGGAGCCATGTTACCTGGGCCGAATACCATTGCCGATCCTTTCTTTGGCTGTGTGACCACAGGCAAGTTGCTCACCCTCTCTGAGGCTCCGTTCTCTGATGTAAAATGTGGTTACATACAGAAACCAGCTCTGGTTGCTAGGATTAAATGAGATACAAAATGTAGAGTTTAGAGTCATGCCTGACAGGCTGCAGGTGCCGCTGATATTCGCTACTGTTGTTCTCTGTGGGGTGTGTGTGTGTGTGTGTGTGTGTGTGTGTCTGTGTCTGCCTGTCTATGTCTGAGGCTGGGATCCACCCAGCCTCCCTGGGCCTGCAGCCTCCCACGCTC